ATACAGTGGGTCCAAAAAAGTTATTCGTCCACCTTTCTTTTTCATTTTCCTCATCGACGTTAGTAGCTAGAACACATTTGACAATAAATAATCTTTACTGTATGTTTAACTTTTCTCATTACTGTCAAATCCTTGTGATCAAACTTACTACATCATGAATGAATACAACAGTTTCTAGAGAATCGAAAGAGCTTTAAAACAGACTCTTTCAGAAAAATGGGGTTTCTTGTTTTATCGAAAAGCGTTAGCCTACATGATCTAGTTATACATGTTATAGTGAACTTAACGACCTTTGGCAAATCAACGAAGATATTGTGAATAGCCCAGTTTGTAGAGAATTGAAAGAGCTTTCTAATTATGGGTTGATTTCTTTATATGCTCCTACAGTACCAGAGAAAAGCCCATGGGAAGAATTTTAATGGTATTCTTTAATACCAGCTTCCAAGTGAAGATCCTATCTGGATGGAACTTCTAAATTCAACAGTTTTTCTCTTACGAAGGTACAAGGCGAAGAAGAAAGCGATAATCAGTCGTTATCTCTCTAACAGTTTGTCTCCGTCTTGTTCTTCGTCAGCAGTATTACATATATATAGTCCAATTTACAATCTATTCAATTCAACAGTTCAATCTATTCTTTACATTTATCCTACTTTTGTCTGACGAAGACGTCTTTGACGTTGAAACATAAGAAGAAAAATAAAACAGGAAAGAGTATTCAGAAATAACCCAAATGAATAAATCTCTTATTTTCTCTTCAGACTTGATTTGTAGAGCAGAATCAAGACTTTCAGACACGTATAACTGAATTAGTTCCATTTTTCGAGAGCGACGGGGTACGCTTCCGTCTTCCACATAACAGAATGTCATAATAAGAGCTGGAAATGCAAGAAAAAACCGAATTTTTTCAGATAGTTTACAGCACAATGACAGTTACGGTGAGAGATTAGGTGAGCTTTCTAAGCAAGAGTTTCCGACAGATATTACTGTTTTATCCTCTACTTTTTCCGTCTCTCGATTTCTTTAGTCACCAGTAAATTTGGATATATTAAAAAAATACGTGAAGCATTTGAATGGGTTGAACTATATTTCAAAAAATCTTTGTTTACTGATGACCGTGGCAATTTTTGTTCAACATGCATCGAAACAATTACACCAGCCAGATTACTTATAGATCTAGCATCATCGTCGAAATTTTTAAGTAGTGATGAAGATGGTCCATTGAGGGAAATGAATTTTTTCAATCCCAGATCGAAAAGAGCAAAACAGAAACAGTCAATTATAATCAATGCATATAATGGAATTTATAATCATAGGAAAGCTATGATGACGTATGCAAGGGATATTAAAGATCGAAGCTTGACGATTTTGGTTTCGACTACTGGCAATCAATGGTGTAATATTCTGGACTATTTCTCTGATTCCAATGCTACAAATGGTAAGCCTTTGATTCCTGATGAAAATTTCAATTTTTAGACTGAAAAGCGACTATTAACATGAGAGCTAGAATGTTGAAAAGCAAAATTTGTATGGATTGAGATTTACTAAGATATAGAAACGCAGCGTCATCGTACTATTCTCGTCCCAGCTGTGAATCATCATCAATTTTACTTCGACTGCATGAAATCTCTTAAATTTTCTTTCAATTTGGATGCCTAATTTTTGCTGACTCACACCCACTCCAAAAATCAGTCACTTATCAGTCGTCCTTATTGGATTATGAGGGTTTCAATCCAACATATCTAGTATCTGGTGCCATCTGACGAAAAGAAAGCGATTTTTGTACCTTATGGATAAATATCTGATGACGAGAAAGAAAGGGCGTTGTAGATTTGGGTTATTTCTGAATACTCTTTCTTGTTTTATTTTTCTTGTTATGTTTCAACGTCAAAGACGTCTTCGTCAGACAAAAGTAGGATAAATGTGAAGAATAGATAATTAATTGGACTATATATATGTAATACCGCTGACGAAGAACAAGACGGAGACAATTTTTGGACTAATAGTAGAGTTTGTGAATGAGACTGAGAATGAACAGATAGTGTTTTGACTTTGGTACAGGCTACTAGAGCCTTAATCTAAAAAGTATTAAGTAGATTTCTTTAAATGTATAATTTCTTTTGTTTTTCTTTAATTTTTTCAACAGCCTTATTTGAAAGATGTATTTATTGGTGCATATCAAAAGAAAACTATTTTAAAGGGAACACAGCATATGATAAAACGCTGCCAAGTTTGGAAGTATTGTCTGTTGTACGAATTTTATTAGGCTTCCGGATTTATGAATATTCAGCAGATGCATATGCTTATTTAAAACCGATTCTAGTAGCTTTACATAATAACGAAGCATCAAGCGAAATAACAACAAAAGTTTCATTGAACAATAAGCGTGAGCAAGCATTAGAAAGACGAAGTGCCGATATTATTGAAAGAATTGCATTCGCTATACAGACAATATTAGATATATTTAAAATTATAGATGATATTAAGCCTGATATTGTTAATGATATTAAAATTGAATTTGGTCAGATAACAAAAGCAACAAGGTTACAAATAGAAGAAACGATCAGAAAAAATTATTATATCAATGATAATCCTGGTGCAGTTAATGATTCCATAATTGATTATCCAGATGATGTTGATTTGTTGGAATTAGATGAAGTACGAATAAAGTCAGTGAAAGAAGCACCAAAACAATCGATGCAAATATCACTGAATGCAGTCAAAGTCGCTGTGAAAATGTATGATGAATTATTCTACCTCAAGGATTACAGTTATTTTATTGCAAATTGAATACAGATGAACAATCTCAAAAAACAAATGAGAATGAGAAAAAAATACTTCAATTACCATTTAATATAATTTATACTACACAACTAGTGGGCAGTGATTGTATCTTTCATAATGCAAAAAAAAGAAATATTGATGTTCAACAACTGTTAAAGAATCTTGTGGAAAAGAAAATCTTGTCATCTGGAATGTTTTTAAAGACATCAGGAAAAAATGTTCCTAGTTGGATCAGAAATTTAGAATTTGTTGATGAAAAGGAGTTTGATAAATTTAAATATACGTTGTTGAATGACTACGGCTGGACATTAGAAAAGTACTTAGAAAAAGTTAGACAGAACGCCGAATATGCAACAAGTTTACAATTAACAATCCCGGTGGGTGCAGACAAACTAAATAAGCAAAAGCAATCAATTAGATTGATGGATGAACAGATAATGAGAACTAAAGAACAACGTTCACAAAAAGGTATAATTACACTTCTCATGATGCGACACCACGTTATCATTCTATGCACAAAGTATTGATTCAGAATTATACAGATTAGATTTACACAAAACTTTCCCACTTACACTAAAAGCAGAAAAACGTATATTTTCAGCTGAAAATGAATTAAACCATGCCAAATATGGAAATAAATAGAGAGTTCTGCAATTGATTAAGTCTATCTTATTCTAATTTGTGAATCACCATAGTTCCCATACGGCTCACCGTTACAGGCATTTTGTAAATAGAGTGAGAAGAAAATAAATGTAGAATTCTGTCTGTATACACTCTAAAAAACAGGACTTCTTTAGAAAACTGAAACTGTGTTTTTCATTTGTCCCAAATGGGGATCTGATATAAGTTGTCTAAAAATTGGCAAAGCTGATTTTTTCATTTTCCGGAAGAACAGAAATTGAGTTTTTCATTTTTGCAGATCCCTATTTGGGACATTTGTTCTTCAGAAAACATCAGGTCGAAAAACACATTTCTACTTTTCAGTTTTTCGGAGAACATGTTCCTTGCGTTTGGTTCTCCTTTTGGATGTGTTATCATATCTTCTGAAAAAATCTTTTCCAAAGTGAATTATTGAATTTTATTTTCTGGATGCTGATAAAAATTATTCAGTAACTTGATCAGACGATAGATAGTATAACTGAAACAATCAAGTGTTATGTTTAAAGATTTTTAGAATGATGTAATTTTGACGTTGGACATTCTAGCAAAAGCCGAAATAACCAAATCCACATCGTACAGAGCTAGCGAAAGTTTGCCGCCAAGTGAAACAAAAGGCTGCTTTTTATCTAGAAAAGAAAAAGTCTAGAAAGTTTTAAGAACCGATAGGTTTCATAAGAAGAACCATTCAAGGGCCAAGCAAGCCAGAATGATGAGCATTATTTGTGTATTTATTCTCTGTGTCTGTACACATTCTGCCAATATCAAACTCAGAATATCCTCGTGATGAATCAGTCGAACAGATATATATTAATAGATTCACTCAAAACAGGAACGATATATATATAAGCTTTCACATCTTCAAACAACTCACACAAAAATCTATGTTTTCTAGTTAATGAAAAACAAAATTTGTGAAGAACTAAAACGAGCTGAAAAACAGGAACGAGTGAAAAACTCATTTTTTGTTAAAAAACAGAAATTCACTTCTCCAACTTTCAAAGAACTCAACGGAGTTCTTCAACCAGTTTTCTGAAAATTCGAAAAACACGTTTTTTTTAGAGTGTAGAGTATTACAGGTACCTTTCATCTTCATTTCACTTGATCCTTCACTGAAATAGCTTGGCTCCGATGAATTGAATAACCATGGAAGGACCAGCTCCAACCTCTTCACGGTTGGCTTTCGCGGTTAAGCACGAGAAGAAATGTTTCGCGCATCACTTAACTTTGAAGAAATTCATTAACCCTTTCCTCTTACGAGCTGTCCACATAAAATCATAGTCTCTCCACTTCGACGCTACAAACGCTGCTTTCAACACTTTAAAAAAATGCGTGCTTTCTGAAAAACGACTCAGTGTTCTGTGAGAGTTACGAGAGACTCTTCGTCTACACTTCTTTCTCACTGCCCCCTAAAACTTAGACACTCACGCGGAATCCGTATAGACTCATCAGGGATTTTGCCCGTTTTAACGGATTCCCTGAAGAGGTCATCAGGAAAAGTGGACTAGAGTAACTTTCACTGCAAATAAGAAAAAAACATAACGTCCACCGAGAAAACCAATTCTTATATACAGCTTTAAAAGCACAAACGAATAATCCAGGGAGCGAACCATCGATACCGCGAAAGAGAGAGAGATCATTTCTCGAATTTTGAAGCTCACACATTACTTCTTCAATTTAATGTGTCTGAAGATATAACGTGTGGGCATATTAAATTGAAGGAATAACGCGCCTGTACATTATTTTGCGTGCGCCGACGCCTGACATTTTCTTCATATGACCTTGGACTTCAAGAAAGAGAGAAACACTTACAGCAAAACTCGATGGAGGCAAAATAATTGCTCCTAGAGGCCGCCCATAGTCATTTTCTGATTCGTCATCGTCGATTACCTATACTTTATCATTTTCATGAGTTAGAAGCTTAAATTTTACTAGTTATTGTATTTTTATGTTATACGGACACCAACGCTGGCATTTATTTCATATGACTCTAGACTTTCTGTCAACGGAATAATTAAATTAGGCATGCACTGGTATTTATCGGTTGCAAAGGTCTCTATTAGAGATGGGCCGTAATACGTAAGCTTCGAAAGAACGGAACGAAAGATTATGCGTTATTTACTATAGCAAACTATGTTTCATTTATATACGAGTAAAGAATATTCGACTAATGAGCATTTGAATACACGTCGGAAGAAGAGCTCAAACGTTCGTAACACGTAATAGTAGTTTTCCCTTATATATGAAGAAACGTTTATTATATTTCCTTATTTGTCGTTGTCTGAAATAAACATTATTGCGTTCCTTGCATAAGAAGCTGATTATTACGCTTAGTCGAAACCAGCTATATCACATATTTATCTTATTCACGATGCTTTCGTTTATACTCACTCATAAGTCAGTGACAAGATAGTTTGTCTTTCCGAACGAGAATAAACGGAACTGGGTTATAGACGATTCTTCGGAATGAGACATAATCACGGAATGAAGAAAACGAAAATGCGAATATTCATTCTTCTGTTGCTTCGTATACTTCTCATTAAACGTATTTCTTCTACCCAACTTCGTTACGGTCCATCTCTAGTCTCCATAACACAAAATGATCTTCATTTTTCTGCCGATATCGGCAAGAATAAACATTACTGCGTTCCTTGCATAAGAAGCTGATTATTACGCTTAGTCGAAACCAGCTATATCACATATTTATCTTATTGATACGCAGATCTGTGGAATAATCCAGCATACTTTTCGAAGACGCGCGTGCATCTGTCAAACGGATGCCAGTTGAAATGTTTTTATAGTGCTAGTTGGACAGGTCACTCTAATATCTGCTAAGATGCTTCCATTTAATAAAGTGTTGGAATTCACCGCCTTGTCACTAGTGTCTTAGAGGAGCGAGGATTTAGATGGTAGCAACCAGGTGATGTGATTGCGATGTCTCAACAGGGTGTTGCTGGGACATCCATAACATTATAATGCTAAACAAAGCATGAAAAAATATAGAATGACAGCTAATATTACAATCGGTGTTGTTACACGAAAATAAGTCTTTTTTACGGGCCAAATTATGCTCAATAATAAAGCTCATTTTGGGCTAGTGAAGTTTTAAAGTTCTTTTGCGTAAGCAAGAATATTGGTTTGATTGGTTCGAGCAGATGAAGTCGATATTGTTTCCATAACTACTCGCAGTCTTATATATACAGTCAATTTTAGAAAGCACTATATTTTGTTTTAGCTACTAGTGGACAAATACAGGCTACAACTAGGGATACTGCAACAGAAACTGCATACGATCAAATGGGTAATTCTATACAACCAGGTATTCGTGTGGAAAAACGTACTAATAATGACGAAGAGAGTACCAAGAATGAGTTATCAAATGCTGAAGCAGAAAATATGTCGAAAAAACAGCAAAGTGTTAAATAAAGCAAGCTCTGCTCTATTTAATTCTATAGTTTGATTTCTGTTAAAAAGAGTTTTATTATGGTTGCAGCAAGTTTTCTATAAAAACTTAGTTTTTATAGAATGTTTTGCACGTGTGCAGAAGGAAGTATTACACAAATCTCTACGCATGCTCGTTGATTGAGTATTATCATCAACATTGCCGAACCAGTGCTCTAACCGGTAGCTCAATGTTTAAGGTGAGAGTGTCCCTACAAAAAAAGAGTGCCTTCTTGTATGCCTTCCACATAATAAGCGTGTCCTACACGTCTTCACTCTATCTGTCAAATGTCTATAATGTATTTCCTGAAAAAAATGCTAAAATGCGTTTTTCTGAGTAGCAACATCGAACGTGTCCTCCAAATAGAAGCGTTTATGTACTGAGCGTCTATAGAGCGTAGAAGAGAAACAAAAACGAAATCGAGATATATTTTTTCAATCTGACTATTGTGTTTGCAATGTTTGTTATCTATGCACAATATACCGTATTTTATTAAGAGATAAATGGAGTAAATAAAGCAGCAGTACATTCAAAGTGGACGTGGAAGCGGAATTTGTTAAGTGGAAAACAAAATCAAGTTGATGGTGTGGATAAAAATATTTGTAAGAAAATCTTAAACATTCGAAGCATTCTGCGAAAATAGATGAGACAGTTTCCGCGAAAAGAACAGAACTCTTAGAGGTAATGTGTAAGCATGAATGAGAAGCCTTGGATGGCAGATGCGGCATTTGCAATGTTCAAATAAAAAATTGTACATCTGCAACGCTGGAATACCACAGTTGCACACTTTTCATGTCATAAACCACCAGAGCTATTTTCTTTTTTGTCTGTATAGATTCATGTGAAAGTGAATATATGGAAGAAGAAGCAGCAAATAATTCAGTTGGAAAAGAAGAATTTGCAGAGGTAGTTGCAACACATACAACAGCTCGTAAAGCAAAACAAACTACGAATCCTCGAGACGAAGCAAGGACGATTAAAAAGTTTAAAGCAACAAGTAATGTTCATCTTCGGTTCACTCGGTTCCGTGATGTTAAGTCACAATGATCATCTTTTTTACAAGTAGTTACTGTGCGCTGGCAGATATCTGCAATATAGCGCATCTAGATAGGCGTTACGTCTGAATCATCGACTTGACGGCAGCCGCCAAATGTCGAATAGTGAGTTAACAGATTCCTGCGCATCTGAAAAGATGTTCCTGCTTCATGTCATACTGTCACAATCTCAAGAACCAGTTGTAGTTTTCTGGAGATCTCCTCGACATCTTCAAGTGCTGGATGCAGGCTCAATCTATACTTTACACCAGATCAAACTGAGAAACTGGTAGAAATCTACGAGGCTTTATAAAGATCTCCTAGAACTTCTCTGTGGGAGCCATCATATTCTCCATGCAAAGTTGCCTCTACTCTATAAGCTTCAGCTAGCTAAAAGAAAATTTCAAAATTTATTCTTTTTTTATACATGTTTTCTATATATCAGTCGTTGTTTCTATTTACTTATAAATTTTATATTCAACTTTTATTGTTTTTTCTTTCTTTCTTCACAAATAATAAACAGAAAAATGAAGTGTCGTTTTTCTAACAAACTATACTTTGTTTCATTTCCATTTTTCTGTATTGCTCATATTAGAGCACACATTGTTTCTTTGCACCAAAGGGCTAAGTATTAGTGCTTCTTTCTAATGCGAGCGTATTTGTACGATCTTGGTTAATAAAAAAGCTTTGTAGTAATAAAGTGTTGTTGTTTATTCAAATTGGCGGAACGATTTCCTTTTTCGTCACTGTAAAGACAAACTGTGTGGTTACCCACTGAAAGCAAATTTTGGATTAGTGTCTTTTGAGCATCCGCAATTTTGCTGATCAGTATGCAACTTCTAAATCTCAAAATTTGAAGTAGCGATGAGGATGTTCCATTGATGGAAATTAATTTTTTGAGCCAAAATCAAAAGACGCAAAACTTCTGAACTATATTTTTTCCCTTGTACTGTTATATGATTTCCTACATCTGATAAAAATGTGAGCTTTCAGTTGAAAATGAATTAAGGGGGGGGGGGAGCGGGTAACTACCCCCATTTCTTTTCATAATGCTCTGAAGTGTTTTCGATGAACAGACTTGCAATTGCTGAGAAAAGAAATTTTTACAAATTTCATACGATTTTGACCCTCTATTAAAAACATTTATTAAAAATTAAAAATTGAAACTGGAACTCTTGTTGTCACGCAGTTCGACAGAGCACCTTAAGCGACATATACCCACAAGTTATAATGAAAATTGAACGGAACAGCTTTTCTGGCAAAATGTTTTTCGGCTTTTTCGGTGCGATCTATTTTTCTCTGCGTAGAAACATGCTATAAGCTTGGGAGAGGTTCCATGTTACTCAGAATTCGATGCTCTTTCAGGTTAGAGCCTTAAAGAACACTTTTCTAGATTCAGTTTCGCATGGAAAATCTGAGAAAGTTTGTTTCAAAGCTCTATGAGGTTTTATAGAGAAATTGTAGAACTTCTCTCAAAAACGAGCGATTTTTCGGTTTTTTAGGACCTCTCAGTGTTTTGGGCTTTTCTCGGTGAAGACTCGGTCAGATCGGAAAAATAAGGTCATATTAGTGATCAACAGCTCATGGCGAATCAGAATATGTGTGTTAAGAGAAAAAAGATAATTTTTAGAAACTTTGAATTAGTGGCACCGTATTACAAGTACCTTTCATCTTCGATTCGCTTGATCCTTCACTGGAATAGCGTGGCTCCGAGGAATTGAATAACCATGGAAGGACCAGCTCCGACCTCTTTACGGTTGGCTTTCGTGGTCGAGTACATGTGCAAAAGTAGTACAAAAGTAATATTTTTACATGTACGTGATTACAACTCGGCCTCCAGCTCCATATTGAGTAACTTACAATCAAACGAATTTTATCCGAGCTCTTACATATTAAAACCAATGAATTCGGTAAAAGGATCAATGACTTTACTATTATTGCTCTACATACGCTAATAATTTGACGAGTCTTCTTGTTACGCCGGCTTGTATTTTATCATTTGGACCGTTGGGTAGACAAGATATTGTCTAATCAGCAAGTACATCACTATCCAAAGTATAGAGTAAACGACTTAGAACAGGTAACACTGGTGCAACCCGGAAAGAGAGAATAGACTGAACAAGAAAAATATTTTTATAGATCATACTTTATTAAAATCAACAGCTGGATTTTGGTTTAAACTATTTATTATAATAAAAAACAAAAGTAAGAAAAGGCATATCAGGGTATCAGAAAACTTAGAATCGCCGAAGGGCATTGTACTTAGTAGTCTGAATTAAATGTTTCGTAAACAACCATGCTTCAAAGAAAACTGGGATGATCTTAAACGTGTACAAAAGAAAAGAAAAAAAAACAAAAAACTCAGAAAGAAAAGAATAAGAAAGAAGGAGAGAAGAAAAATGTAAACTAAACATGTGCATAGTGATAGTGGAGAGGGGGATGCTAGAAAGATGCATTTGAATCAATGTGCTAGGTGTGTGTTACATGTCAAAGCGTCGTGACGCTTTTATGAATTCAATAACCATTGAATAAATAGATATGAACGGCTCACGCTCTAATTTACATTTTAAGAGAAGTAAATTTAGGGTTGTTTTTCGGTTACTTGGCATCAAGTCAGAGACTTTCTTTAACAGTATATTTCGACAAGGTGTATACTGATGACAGTCAAAGAAGGAATGATCAAGTGTTTCAATCGAACCGCGTTTACAGCGATTACTAGTCGAGAGAAAAAGATGAGAATTCAGATCTGAAAAGCCACAGCGTAGCTGATAATAGAGTTGATCGTATTTTCTCTCAATATTATACATTCTAAAAACGTTTAGTTTTTTTGAGCCGGCAAGTAATTTTATTTTAAAAATGCTGAGTTCAGCACAAGTTTGAGTTTCTTTCGTCAACTGATTCCATTGGGTGACAAATCGTGGAAAGAAAGAAAGCTCAAACTTTTTGATCCGGTGAGTGTTATAAGTTTAGATGATGCTTGGTATCTCAAGGCGTAGTTTTTGTTATTTTTAAAACTTAATTTGCTTTTTAGATACGCGGGACAGAGTCCGTTTAATATTTCAAATCTATGTATGAGAACGTTATTCTTAAATGATTCAATACCATCAATTCATCCTAAGCATACAAGAATTTTTTGTTTATTGGTTAATTTCTTACAATCGGAGACCAAACACGCATGTTTATACTGTAATATTGATAAAGAATCCAGATGTGTGGCGTATGTAGAAGAGTAGATGGCTGAACCGTACATAAAAATAGGATATGTATAAGACTTATATATTTGATCCAATACTGCTGTATGAAAGACTTGTTTAAGTTGATGCATGAGAAATAGGATTTTAGCGCATCTATTATGAACATAGGTAATATGTGCTGTCCAATCTAATGAACATGTTAAGATTAGACCCAAATATTTATGATAGTCAACTTCAATCAGCGCAATGTTATTGATAAATAATTGATTTTGTGTAACATCAAGTTTTTGTTTGCAGAAAGTCATTGATTCACCTTTTGGTATGTTTAAGTGAAGTTGCCAAAATAGTGTCCACTCATAGATTAATCTGAGATCAGAATTAAGTATTTCTGAAGTCCTTTTTGTTGATTTCTGAGCTACACGAAGCAACACATCATCAGCAAATAGTCGAGTGGTAGATTTTAAGTTTAACACAATATCATCAATAAATATTAGGAACAGCGGAGGCCTCAGGATCGATCCCTGGGATACTCCTCTATTGATTTTACGAGTAGATGAAACTTTGCCATTGACCATTGTGATTATTACTTGTGATTATACTTTAGCTTATAGAGTAGAGCATTGTGCCAGACTGAGTCAAAAGCTTTTCTAAAATCTAAGAAAACGGTTAGATGATTTTTTCGAAACTAAGGTAGACATGGTGAACTAAGTCGATAAGTTGATTAATATCAGAGTCTCCATGCCTAAACCCTGATTGTAAAGTAGGGAGTAGGTTGTTCTTTATCAGGTAGTAATACAACCGCTGGGAGATAACTCGTTCTATAATTTTTGATAGTGTCGGAAGTAATGTGATTGGTCTGTAATTTTCGGGGAGACTATGATCACCACTTTTGTATAAAGCACTGATAAAGCCTACTTTGAACAATGATGGATATACACCGTCTTCGACTGAGTGGTTTATTATGTCAGTAAGCTGTTCATCAATCACAGGTCCGGCTTCTTTGACTAATTGAGCTGTAATACCTGGGCTACTAGCTTTATTAGGATCAAGACGTCTAAGTATTTTTTCAATTTCACCTGAGTAAAAAAATGGTATATCGAAAGTTGATGTAGCCTTCGGTAGTATTGTTGAAGGAATTGGCATATCACAATCAACCGGATCCATAGTACATATTTTTGCGAAGAATTCATTTAAGATTTCAGCTTTTTTTGTATTATCAGTGATCCAATTTTTATTCGAATCAGGTAAAGCTGGTATTTCCGAACGCTTATTTCAAGGTAATACTTGGCTTATTAACTTGTACCATGTCTTGGGATTCTTTTGTGCGGAATTAACCCTCTCATTAAATCTCAGCTTAGCTGATAGACATGCACTTTCATATTCAATCACGCAAAACAGATATTTACTTTTAAAACGTGGAGAATTTATATGTTTTTTATATAGTCCGAATGACCGATCTTTCTTTTTTCTTACAAATCTTGGAATTCAAAAGAATGCTGGTTTGCAAATGTTTAACGCCATGGCAAAAAACTGGAATATTGTTCAAGAACGTTGGAGCAAGAAAAAACACGGGTATGTGATCCATTCACCTAATAATGCATTCGTCAACTGGTAATGTATCTTACCACTCTTGTAGGCATTACCAAAAACCAAAAGAAGTGGATGTTAAAAAAATGGACAATATTTCCTTCAAACCAGAATTACCAATGTATGCTGATGAAAAGCAATTAACTACGCGGGGAAATAATAAAAGTTAAAACACGTTCGCAAATGCTTTGTTACAATCAATTGTCTATTCACGTCATTTACAAGCTGAGAACGAATCATGTTTGTCTAATCATCATAAAGCGTTACGTACGTTGTTACTTGAAGCCATCAAAGGGAAGAAAAAAGTCACAGAAAATAATATTGATACCGTACTACAATATGTGACAAATGAAGTAATAAAAAATGATGCTCTACTAACATCTGGAAATAGTCAAAACTGTACAAGAATAATCAAAATACCAGCATTAACATTTCGCAAAGAATGTGTGTACCCGATTTTAGGTACGAATGTGACCGTTGCATCCGTATTTCGACTAGTTTGTCAATCTTGTGGACATGAATCAAACATGTTGATATTCCATGACATAAGTATATTACAATGGAAAAACGCGTACAACACCGAAAAAGTAGTAGAACATATGGTATTGTCCTGTAACCATAATGATCCTTGCATCAGGTGCGATCGAAATGACGTACCAAAAGTTACAGGGGGCTGTTTATCTACCACTACTGGCAGTAGAAACCCTAAACAGTTCTCTATTTTTTAACAACGAAAGTAACCATCACTTTATTTCTGAACGAGATGTATCCTTACGCACCACATACTGCCCACAAGTATTTCTTGTCTATGAACAACAAGACTCACAGCAAGAAAATGTTTCATATGTGGAGCTGATCAATTTCAAGAATTTTTTGGATGAGGATATTGTTACTGTACAATATTATTCGTTATCTCGTCTAGTATCATGTGTATATATGAAAGCCCTCGATGACTATGGCACCATGTTTTACTGTAATGATAAGAAGTATCATTGTATAGAAAGAAACAACACGTTTGTGTTGGACAAGACAAATATTAAACAGTATTTGCAATCGTCGTTGTTCATTATATATCAGAAAGTGAATGTAGAGGGGGTCGATTTTACGAATGCGATTCTGGCCATTCTTGACGAATGGAGTTTGTTAGATTCGAATCGGCATCATGATTACAGTTTTAATGAATTCGTTGTGACAATCAAACGATTATATCCGAAAATAGCTGATGATTTAACGTTGAAGGTGAGTTCACATATACATTTCACAATTTTCAATAACACTAGTATTTATTCTCTTTTCTTAGGTCTCTGTCGTTTCTGACTGTTCATATTGTGATGAAACGAATTGCATTCATGATTGTGAAAATATTTTTTTATTGAAAGAAGTTCACACTAATGATTTGCAATTATTAAAAGTTCGAACGACAATGAATGTTCGAAATGTCAAAAAACTGGCAAATATTTATATGTTAAACCCAACAGTTTTGACATTGAATCTTTACCTCCGACGTACATGTTTTGTATATCACGAGCAGCAACAAGTTTCAAAAATGTTTTAACAACAGTGGACGACACTATTACTGTCTATTATGAGCCGATTGGGCAACTTTTTTAATTACGAATAAAGCCGATCGGACACAAATCATCAAAAAAGTAGACGCCTTAAGTTATCACAGCAGCAAGGGACCACTAACACATTTTATGAGCTGTACTCCAGATTATGTGTAGACTACCTGTACAGCTTTTCGATAGATATACATATGATAGTCCAGCTGTATGAGACTGTAATACATTACTCTTTATTTATTTATTTATTTTATTAACAAAAATACGTGTCAATTAACGAACAGGTGTAACCCTTGGAAGGGTTTTAGCACCGTCGGAAAAAATACATTCGAAATGTTGAAATACCCAAAAAAATAGTAATCGTCCCCTCGCATACATGTAACAAAGCGAATTAATCCAAGTTTATATGCTGTACATAAAGGTCATCATTATGGTGGACCAGGAAATCACTTTTGTAAGATCATTCTGAAAAATATATATTCTTTTCAAAAATCATCTCTTCATCTTTTAGGGAAACCTTTGTATATGTCCGGTCTTATATCGAATGCGTTCAGTGCGAATGACGATCAACGTATGCCACAGTGTGGTATCGGATTCACAAATATAGTTCAACCACCGACAAAAGCTGCACTCTCTTCCGCGGAAAGCAATATCACAATTTAGATGAGCAAATTGAAAATAGTTGAAGTTTGTGATACTGGAATAAAATAGAGTTCAAAACTCAAAACAAAGAAAATAAACTGCTGTATACTTTGAAGGAGATCTAGGAGAAGATCTCTGATTGTTTCATGTTCTCGAGGAAAATATCGAATAAATATCGTTTATTTCACATTGACATTCGTATAGGTATAGGAGAAATCACATCCAGAATGACACAAGAAGCCACAATGGAAGTGTCGTTGACTGTGATGTGAACTGATCGATCGTCAAGATCAAGTGTGCCCGTAGCCGACAGTACACTGTAGTGCCAGAATTTGCATCTCTATGGCACACGATCATAGTATTGGAGTTATGTTCTTTCTGCATGACTGAGTCTAAGAAGTGGTAGTTGTATTCATTTATTCATTTTTCTCTCTGATGAAGCATACTGTTTGAACATTATTATAGATTTTACTGGTTTCATTTCAACTAAAACAACGTCAATCATGCTCTTCTATTTACTAATACTTTTTGTTTCATTTTTCCAATTCTACAATGGTCAGCCAGTCAGTGGACGTTTCGCTGATATTTCAGTTGTTCATAAACGGTACGCATAACGAAAACTTGTAAGAAATACCAGCACGACGAAGTGTAGTGGAATTGATTTTATCGCATTAATTGCTATGAACAATCTCAATTTTTGGGTATAATTTAATGTTTTAGTGAAGCACAACGTAGTGGTCCGAATCTACGCTCACTACACGACGCCAACATTGATCCAGTGGACGGTGAGGTTTTATGGATAGAAAAAAATCGATAGAGAGAAGAACAAAGTATTTAGTGAACGTCCAACATGTGCGTTTGTCTGTAGCGAGTATCATCTTATAAACAGTGCAAAAACTGACACTACAGATATTTTCGTTGCTGAACTCTGAGTTTCATCTGTCCAATTAGTCCTTTTAGAATAATTGTCATGTTAAAATTCTCTTTCTAGGCGCCAAATGGGCTGAAGCATGTGGTGGTGTGATGCGACAGGTTTATGATTCTGACAATTTTTATCGCTGTTATCGTTTCCAGGGTTGTCGCCGTACGAGTTGTTAGAGAACCATGTTTCCTTTTATTTGAAAAGATTCTAACTTAACCCACTCCCAACTCATTTTCCCATATGAAAACATGTTTTGCTTCATTTTCCTCAAAACAAAGTGTGCTTGTTATATATGCATGGATACTATCATAATCCCTTATTGTTCAAAGATAAAAGAGCAATTGTATGACTCCGTATGTTTCTTCACATACGGCAAACGTTACCTTATTGGCAAAATTCACAGGTGAAACGGCAAGAGAGCCCCACTCACTTCTATGGTGAGATCAAATGGTAGCAAGGTTTCGGATCACAACTGAAACATACAGCGATGAAGAACCTAAAGAAATACATGGGAGATCGAATTTTCTATCGGAGAAAGCAACATCGCAATTTATGTGCGCCAATTGAAAATAGTTGAATTCTCTGATTGCTTCATGGTCTCGAGCCGATCCAATGGAATGTTTTGAAAATATATAATTTTTCATTATGGCAGAGAAATGACTAAAGGCGTGTTTAAAGTATTAAGATAGGTGAAAATCATTTTATCGGCCAAGCATTTCGACTATTGACCCATGTAGGCCTATCTTTGAAAGACTTAGTCATAGCTCATTTTGAAGTCCGTAAATCTCTCGTTTTTGCTCATTTTTTCAGGTGTCGGCGTAGAGCTGCAATACAGGTCAAAAAATGAAAGTTGTCAAATTGACTTGAAATACACTTCATTCGACTCACTTTTTTGTGCCGATTCCGAATCTGTGTTTAGTTTATGACTAAAAGTTTTATTTGAATTCGAAAAGCCTTGAATACCGCCTAAAATGACTATGATACCAGTAAAAACGATTTCTCTCGACAAAGAAAAGGAAAGAGAAAAAAAGCGATGCGTAACTTTTTGACTGGTGGTATGATGAGCCGAATGAGATAAAATATTTGCCTCCATCGCTTGTGTAGAAAAACTAGATAAGTTTACAAAATCGACCTATACCTAGTGGACTCGACGAGATTCGAAACGCCACCACCAATAGAGTTTTGGGTCTGGTATCAACTGAACAGCTTTTTTATATTCAGTTTTTGGTGCTGAATCTGAAAAAATTATTCTCAGAAGCCGGAGAAAAGAGCGAAGTAGAAAATTTTGTATATTTCGAAAAAGATGTGTTTTTCTCGAAAAACGACACCTTTCGAGTATTTCGTATTTTTCGATTGGAAGGAAGTATTTGCTAAGGCTAAAAAGCAGTTTTTCGTGATCAGCAGCTCAAGCTCTATCAAATGATGTAAAAAAACTTCAAAAAAAATCTTTTTTTTACAGAAAATTCGCATTGCCTGCACCTTATATCAGTATCATTTATCTAGATATGTAGCTTCTTCACCCACCATTAGGACCGTAAAAGTTACCGTTACTTCTTCGGCCGTTATCGACAACGGTAACTGAAAAGGCAGTTACCGTTGTTTTAGCGGTAAATGTGTTGTCAGTTAGCGTTAAATCAACGCAACCTTAACTTTTACAGTCCTACCCACCATAATCTGTTTAGCGTTGAACAGTTTGTTTCTTACTCTTCTTTCTTGCCAGTTCAGATAACGGTAGATGCTTTGTGTAGCTTAAGTTTTTCCTTTCTTCATTTTGCTGACTTAATATTTCAATTCAGCGAAATGATTTTATAGTTTTCATTTGTCTTAGGGACCCCATCTAAAGTCGCATCGCTGATTTATTCACCGGTAACTGGACTGGAGAGAAAATTGAGAACAGAATTAGCCAATATGCCTGAGAAAAGGAATATGGAACTATCCAATAACAGAAAGAACATGTATGTATATATTCTTTTCTGTACTATACTGGACTTGATGGTTTTTTCTTTCAATGCACACTATAGAGAGAGATATAAAGCAGGAAATGAAGAAAAGAACAAACTTTATCGTTTTATCCAAAAGAAAGATTCCTTTCGCTATGAAATGCGCGTTTATTCTAGCAACTTCCCCGATTAAAAAATTTAACAGACTTAAAAGTACTCTTTTCCAGTTTTTCTGCCAGTTTGTAGTACACAACTTCTACTCTATAAAATGCCATTTTTTAGAAGAAGATACCGTTTAGTTCCTGAGTTATAGTGCTACCAATATCACAGCTGAACCTATGTAAAAGTAGGTATCTACTCCAATGTAAGAGCCAAATGAGTTTTCAGAGAGCTGTCTGAACTACCATGACCTTCCGGCTTCCTCTTCGGGTCATGATAGTCAGAAATAATGTGTGTAAGACAGAAGTTAAAAGGGCTGCTATTATCCATAGTCAGTATCTTCTTCAAACAGAGCTGTTGATAATGAATGAAGGGTTTTTAAATGAGGAACAATAACTCCTCATCCATTAGTGTCATATCCATCATTGTATAACGAAACATTCATAATCCATGTAATAATTCAGCTAGATGAAACTTTGATGTTTTCTTCCTATTATGTATAGCGGGTGGCGCATAATGAATGGCATACTTTGTATTTTCTCTATAACTTTTTTATTTTTCATACTAGACAGTTAATGTTTTTTTTAAATGATTCACTGTTTAATTCTCTAAAAAACATGTACTTAGTTTTGTTTAATGCATTTTTAATTTATTGTTAGATAATGAAAAGTAAAGATATACAAAAACTCGTACTTTCTAAGTACCAAAATGGTGATGGTCCATCGAAGATATTTCGTGATATAAAAGGTGCTATTGGGTTTCGTACA